ATTGGAGGCGGGGTGACCTACTGATCCTAACAAGACTCTAGGAACCATGCAGGGCCTCATGTTGCATATAAAGACAATGTCCTTACCCTTTTCCTTAGAGGGGACCATGACGCCACCTTGCTCACCTGCCCTGGAACTCCGGCTGTTCAGCAAAAAGGCAGATCCAAGGGCTCTGAGCTGCTGGGGCAAGACTGGCTCTGTCAGTCCAAGTGTAACAGTCTGGCTGCTTAAGTCTCTCCTACTTGGAGCAGTTCTAAAGCTGCCCTTCCTTATTCCCACAAGACCGGTTAAGAATGCCAAAACTCACGGATACCAGCCTTCTGTGCTCATGTGTGCGTGCTCCTTGCCTTCCTCTGTTTGTCTCTCTTCTCTTCCCCTTCCTCTCCCTTCTTCCTCCCTGCAGCTGCACATTCCAGGGTAGATTCCATGACAAGGATGTTCCCCCCCTGCTTGCTGGATTTTAGTGGTTTGATTTTGTGGTCTGTTGCCATAACGCTGATGCTCAGGCCTTATCAAATAGTTATGCGTCAGACAGGAAGGACTCTCAAGGAGCTTCCTAGGCAACTCTACTGCTTCTGAGGGCTTTGCCCAGGTTCTGCTGGCACCCCATCAGCCTCCCTACAGATGCTGTGTCTCTTCACATGTAACAGTGCACATTGGTTGCCTGTCTGCCTGCTTACGATGTAGAACTGGCCAGGCCACAGTTCTCCGAGTTCCATGTCATTTGGGAGCTGACACGTTTGCACCAAGTCATGTCACTAGACATGACCCTTCATCATCAGGGCTGTCTGGGGCCCCATTACCCATGTTAGATGTCCCCCAGCCCTCGTCAGCTATATGGCTTTCCCCAGCACCTCACCCCTCTGCCTCAGTTCCTCCCCAGGACCATAGGAGGTTGACAGCACCTCCTGAAGGAGGGATGACAATCAGATGACTTGATGAGTAGGATGGAACCCATAAGTACCTTCTCCAAGGTTGCAGTTACTACTCTTCTCATGCTGCCTAATCTCTCTCTCCCAGACTTTTTCTAATTTTTAGTCAGTAACCTACCAGTATTCTAGCCCTGTGGCTCCTGTAAATTTTTCCTCCTTGCCCTCCATGTGAGCAGAGTTACTAGAAAGTTGCTGGTACATCAGCCCTGCTCCCACCATGTCTAGGGGCTTCGGGATCCTTCTTCTGCAGACCTGCCTCAGTTCTTTAGCAGCCTCCCTCCTCAGATTTGGTGGGGTTTTTCGTTGTTGTTTTCAGTGTTGGGTGAACTCAGACCCTCACACTTGTTAGGCAGGCCCCCTACCACTTGAGCCATGCCTCCAGCCCTTTTTGATTTAGGTATTTTTTTCAAATAGGATCTCAAGTTTATGCCCACGCTGGCCTGGAGAATTACCCTCCTATTTACACTTCCAGTGTAGCTCAACCCTCTCAATCTCCTGAGTCGTTAGGATTATAGGTATGAGCCCTCCCCCTCTGTGTTCTGGAGTGCGTGCTCCCGTTCAACCCTGAAAGTGACAAAGGAGGCCTTCTCAAACTGCCCAGAGCCAGCTTACTGATCACAAGGCTCTGTGGGAACACCAAGACACATGAAGCTCAGAATCTCGTCTGTAGGCAGTTGCTGGTGTATGCTTGGCAAGGTTGTGAAGCATGTCCCTTTCTGACAGTTGTTGGTTTCCTTCCTAAGCCTATCACAGCCTTCATGTTCTGAGGATCCTATTTGTGAAATGTGGATAAAATGTTTATCTTACAGGAACTCAAACAACATAAAGCTTTCTTGGCTGTTTGTGGGCACATCAGCACTTAAAATCAATTGAAGGCAGTAACAGGAAGATTTTCTTGTTGGGTCTAGTGAAGGGCTGACAGTTCCAACAGGTAACCAGCAGGGGGCTCCAGCGTCTCACAGTTAAGCCTAGATTCTGGCTGAAGCCCATGTTGGCAAATTTCCCACAGCCAGTCACCCTTTCTCTAGGGGGCAATTCAGATATGTGGAGTGCTTCTCCCTGAGCTAGGAGGAAAGGCCAGCACCACCTGAACATAAAGGTGTGCTAGGTGTGCCAAAGAGGGTAGAAATCACCAAGTAAGAGTGGAGATGTGAAAGGGTAGAGCAAATGCCAAACCTATTCATAATAACTTCTTTCCAATCCTATGTTAACCATAGGTGTAAAAGACAGAGAGGTTAGAGCAATACATTTGTACATGCTTAATATTACAGTCTGCCAAAAGCTGTTTGTGCAGGTATTTGGCCTTTAAATCATGGCTTGCATCTTAAGTCATTCCTCTGTCTTTTTTTCTAGATTTCCCTTTTTTTTTTGTCCTTTATAAAAGAGAGCTTTAGAAAATGGCAAGAAAGCCAAAAGTATATGGTCCTCTGATTAGCAGTCACATCCTATACTGCATGAAACCTATCTTGTGCCCACTTTAGTGAACATGGGTGGCATTGACCATGCTGCCCACACAGCACAGCATAGGTTGTCCCAAAGCAAGATGACAGAGTATGCCTCCTGAGGGCTGAGGCTGAGCAGCTCCCAGGTTTTGTGCATTTGCTCCAAAAGGAACACCTTGACTGTGTAGAAATAATGTCAATAGAAAATTAAATCTTTAAGCTGGGTATAGTGATACATGCCTGTAATCCCAGTAGTTGAAGACAGGAGGATGGTGAGTTGGAGGGAAGCCTAGGCTACATAGTGAGGCCCCACCTCAAAAACAGAAAATCAAATCATTTCTTCCTTCTATACCATGTAACCCATGCATCAGAGTGTTTTAAAAACATTTAGGAGAATGTGGTATGGTCTGTAGCAACCAATGTCCTACTTAGGTTAAGCCCCTAGTTAAACTTCTTAAGAAGGTCATTTTATGTAGCTGGTCTGTTTTGATTTAGTTTTGTTAAGGAACAATGACTTCTACCCACGGGAAATAATGGATCTTGGATGAGGTTATATCCGCACCCGCTGGCTCCAGCTGGACTCACACCTGGTCAAAGGCCCAGGGTCAGCCTGAAATTGGCAGCGTGGGACAGTGGCTGGAGAGGAAGTGTCTCAGGTTGAGACTGGTGCCTTTTGTTTGTGTCATGGCTCATATGAGTCTTTCTTTCTCTCCCAGTTGTTAGGCCTGCAGGCCATTCTTCCTTAAGAATGGGCCTGGTGAGATCTACTTTTTCCAGCTAGGTTGCTCTTCCCCTTGGGGCATGTATGACCTTCTGTGCTATGGCCAGGTGTCCTTTTGTGCCAAGGACCCCATGGAAGTACCATACGAATGGGCAGAGAGGACAGGAGGCTGTGGAGAAGCAGACGCTACCTGCTCAGCCTTGGGTACCCACCATAAGTGTTGCTAGGTGGTTCCCTGGCATTTGCCCTGATAGGTAAGGTCTTGGTTTGGAGTCAGTGAGTCCCTCATACCTTTTGCACTTAACTGTCAGAACTTTTATTGCCAGGTTTGTTTAAAGTTCAAATAAAAGGTTGAGGTATGTGGCTGGGGAGAGAGGAATGTCTTTAAAATAGAAAGAACTCATAGAGGGGTGCTAGAGCATCTAGAGCTGTGTGGTTCCTGCTTCTGGTAGTTTGAGTCAACAATGTGTGCCTGGTCCTCAGGAGAAGACACTGCTGCTTCCTGGTGAAGGCTGTGTAGGAAGACAGCCCTTTTCACAGGGGCCTTATCCAAGTAGCAGTACCAGGCAGTCTTGTGTCGGGAGTGGAATGAGGGGGCAGGATGAGGACAACAGCAGGGTCCTGCAGGTACTGCATGTGCACACCTCCCTCGAGTTAGAGCCTTCATGCCAGGGATCATCCCCAGCTGTGGCCAGTCATAGATCTATCTGCAAAGTGCATACCCAAAGGTCACTATCTGGTCCCCCAACACAACACACTCTAGACCATAGCCATCCATGTTTGGTCCTCATCAACAGCATAAATGAAGCTTTAGTTAGCTATAGGACATAAAATCAGATTTTTATGTGCTACATAAAAACCCTAATTTCTGGCCTCTTAAATTCAGAATCTGGCAAACTGAATCTCCTTTCTGCCTAGAAATGTTGTTCACTATGCTTGGCTGTTACAGTTATTAAGCTTGTTTAACTGCCTACCCTATAGGTGTTTTGCATTCACAGTCTCGGTCTAGACTGTGGTCTGCAGAAAGAGACAGAGTTGTATCCATGGTTTAATTTCTACTTCCGAACAGTTTTGACTTGCTTAGTAAATTAAATGCTTGTTGAAATAGGTTTAATTAATCACACCTAACCATCACAACTACACTTGTTGGACACCAACAAGAGAATGTAGCTAGGTGGGTGCAACTGTAATTCAATACATATTCTGTAAGCTCTGAGCATTTCTCTTTATTCCCAGAACATCAAGTCAGAGTCCAACTCCTGCTGAAACTTGTCTCTAAAGCAAAGTGTATCTTCATGCTTCAAGCACTGCCTCATATGTGTGTGTTGCTCTAAGTCTGGTTGCTTTGCTCCTTTTAAGAGGAGCAATATAACCCTCCAACTTGGTATTTTGTCGCGCCCCCCCCCACCACTGCTGCCTTTCATCAGCGGCAGTGTTCACACCACAAACTGAAGGCTTCAACCACAGACACTTTTGTTCTCCCAACTTTGGAGGCTAGAAGTCCAAAATGAAGGTATCAGCAGGGTTGGTTTCTTCTAAGGCCTCTCTCCTTGGCTTACACGTCTCTCTATATCCTTGTTCATTTATGTGCACCTCCATGGTGTATTTCTGTGTGACAAAATTTCTCATAAGGATGCCAGTGGACTTGGACAAGGGTCCACCTGACCAGCCTCATTTGAACTTAATCACCTTTTTAAAGGCTCTGTCTCCAAATATAGTCACATCATGAAATGCTGGAGTTTAGAGCTCAACACATAAATTTGGGAGGGACACAATTCAGCCCGAGCAGTCACCTAGCAGGTGTGATTTAGTTAGGAATGCAGTACAAAGCTCACATGGTCATAACTGAGGTTACAGTTGAGCCAAGGACAAACCTATTAGTGCCTTAGCTAGCACGTCTCTTACGTGTTCCTTAGGAGCAGTGCCGCTGAGCCTGAGTCAAGTGCAGTTAGGGAGCCTGGTAAGAAGCACATTGGTTCTGGTGACGTTCTAGCCTGTTATCCATCTGTTATTCTGAGCAGTTGCTGTAAGGCAAAAATTAAGAATGAAAACAAAGATATGAGCAAACACCAGAGCCAGCTACCATTTGGGCATCTCCACACAGTCAGAGTTTACAAGACTCGCTCCAGGCCTTCTCAGGAAGGGGCATGGTAGCTCCCAATGGGTCAGCCTCAGTCCTAACTCCCTAGATGGGACCCTTACCCCTGAGAAAGGCTATAGACTGGCTCCTTATGTGGCCAACACTGCATAGTCCCCAGCTTGGTCATGTAACTGGAACCGAGAATCTGGGCTGTAGATGAAGGCTGAGAACGCAGCTAAGAAGAGAAAGAGGGAAGTCACGGTTGCCGCGTGCTTGTTGTGAGACCCAGTTACACCATCTTAGTTGTCCTTTCGATTTCAAAGGTCACCTTGTGTTAGTTATTGGTTGTGAAGAAACTAATGAACAGATGGGAGATTAAACTTGCTCTGGGGTTGGAGTGTGGGGTGCACCACTGATCAGTACTGCTGTGGGGTGGTGGAACCACCTAAGGTTTGCTTTATACCTAGTGGCCCGGTGTGCGTGTGCTGCACGTGATCAGTTTACATACTGTCCCGACAGGCCTGTGTTGTGTTGGGTACAAGAATGTGTCCCAAGATGCACTGTCAGCAGTCTCATTTTCAACAGCGTGATGGGTCTGACTTAAACTTTAGGTCTTCGGTGGGCACAGTGGTTCACACCAGTAATCCCAGTACTCAGAAGGCTGAGGATCAGGCATTCAAGGCCAGCCTGGGCTACATATTAAGACTTTGTCTCAAAGGAAAAAAAAAAACAAAGTTTAGGACTTGCTCTACAGACATGAGCAGTGCTGTCACTAGCTGTTAATCTGTTGATTGTCCTTCACTCTAAGCCCAGTGGAGTGTTGATTGTGTAAGAATTGTGTAAATTCTGACAGCCTTTTTAGCCATGCTAAAAAGAATGGATGATGAATGTATTCAGTTCCCTGTGACTTTTAACAGCATAATTCGGTTTTCCAAAGACCCCAGCTGGTTTGAACTTTCCTTCTCTGCATAGAGTTATCACAGGATCAACAAACCAATACCTAGGCAACAAGATGCCAGAGGTTCCCAAACTCTGCTCTGTGTGGGTATCACTTAGAGACCTTGTAAAAGTCAGTTTTGATGAATGGGCCAGAGCTTACCCTGGACCTTCTCCATTTCTGTCAAGCTCTCAGCTACTCATCCTCTGAGAGGCAAGAATTGGGTGACCAGGGATTGCCCATGGAGAAACCATCTGGAGCTACCTGCCCAGGTTAAAATACTCTTCAGTGTTCCTTATGGTGCTATGTCCCACAGAACTAATGATCACTATTAAGCTGCTTGTGTTCCCCAGGGACAGGACTGCTAGTTTAAAACTGGATGAAGAGTGCCATAGTGTCTGCTGACATTGTGGGGGAGGGGCGTACTCACCACGTCCTAGTTTATTGTTTGCCATAGTAAAAAACAAGAAGAAACTTGCATCCTAACTGGATTGACGAAAGCCTGGGGACTGGAAGAAGGAAGGGAATCAGGCCTTGGAAGGATTACCAACCCCTTGCTGTTCATTAACCATGTTCAGCATTGTGTGTCCATCCTTCCATGCTGCGAGCCTCCCACCTGCATTTCTCCTCATTCCCTGTGCCAGTTGACACTTCGTCCCTTCTCTTACCTCATCCTCAGTTCTCCTCTCTCACCCCCAAGAGCAACTTCCCTTTTGCCTGCATTTGGCTAGCAAGAAGAGCAGGTATAAAGCTCACCTTTGTCATTCACCCCAGGGAAGGTAGATTTCTTAAGAGAAAGTTATGCACCTCCTCCATGTGCAGGCCTGCTGTGTGGCTGACACCAGTGACGGGTGGGGCCGACTTTGCCCCTCGTGAATGTCCAGAGGAATAGACAGTCTCCAGCCCAACTGTTAAGCCATGCCACTCTTGGTGTCCTTGTCCTGCATGATGAGAAGCCTGTTTGTGTCCCTCCTTGGGTGACACCTGCACAGAGGCTTTGAATTTCCAAATGGTCAGGAGGGACTCAAGGTGCCCACAGCCTTGCATTCATTTCACCTTCCTTTCATGCTTTTCCTGTTCCCAGCACATGGTGTGAACTCTGGGTCCTCATTATATGGAGATGTGGAAAGAACTCGAAGCTATATTGGGAGGAAGACACACCATAAAGCTTTACAAACATGCAGCTCCCTGCAGTCCCTACCTTGACAGACCTCACAGAGGGAGCGCAACCTGCACTGCACAGAAAGTGGGGCCAGCCCTGAGGAGGGAAGAGGCCAGGTACTGAATATAAGAGCTTCGTTAGCTGGCCACGATGGGGCCCACCTGGAATTCCAGCACTCTGGAGGCTGCAGCAGGAGGATTGTAAATTCAAGGTCAGCCTAGGCCACATAGCACGATCTTGCCTCAAAAAAGGAAAAAAAAGCAGCTTTGTGGCATCATGAAGATCACGTGTGATCAGATGCAGGCCTGTCTGTTCAGGTAGTCCAGCATTCAAACATAGAGCACATGGTTTAGGTGGCGTGAGGATTGCTGTTCTGACAACACCCAGCTCTGCTCACCCCGGCAAGCACTTAGGAAGCATTTTAATGGATGATATCAGCATAGAATCTGCCCTGCAAACCTCACAGAACAAAAAGAAGACAGATAGGAGCTCTGCACAGAAGTGGAGAAAATGAACCAGAGGGCCACCAGTCTTGTGCTGGTGCTGTATGGTCAGAGAGTTAAAGACACAGATGTCAGAGTGGTGACAGGTACAAGGCAAGGTTGGGCTGCCTTGGGAAATCAGCATTCAGCGCAGCCTGCCAAGTGCCATTCTAGAGTGTGGACCTGCACCAGTGGGACTCTAACAAGAGACAAGGAGCCTGCCCAAGAAGGAGCCGAGCAAAAGCATTAGAACCCAGCTCTCCTCTCCAGAGCCTGAGTTCTCCCTACAGTCTGTCCTCTCTTCCTTTCAGAAGGCCTTGGGGCGAGTGAGCGTCAGAAGTAAAAGCAGAGGGAAATCCAGTGTGCTTCCCATTTAGCCGCCCAGAAACATGACTGAGAGCAAGGCCCAAAACCACAAGGGGGAGGGACACAAAAAGGGTTGGGTCTGGGCGTTAGTGGCTCACACCTATAATCCCAGCTATTCAGGAAGCAGACATCAGGAGGATCCCAGTCCAAAGCCAGCCTGGGCAAGTAGTTCTCAAGACCCTAGCTCGAAAAAACCATCACAAAAAAAACAGCTGGCAGAGTGGCTCAAGGTGCAGGCCCTGAGTTCAAGCCCAGGTACCCCCCCCAAAAAAAAAAAAGTTTTTGGAAACTTAGTTCCTACATGTCTTCTTTTGCCTCCAGTCTGTTCACCTGGAGTAGTGTAGTGAGCAGTAAAATATTCCCACCCCACAAAACTTACATGTGTGTGTGTGTGTGTGTGTGTGTGTGTGTGTGTGTATTGGGGAATAGTAAGAAAAGGGAAGCTAAAGACCCTCCATTTTCCTAAGAAAGAGTGTGTGGGGGCATGGTCAGGGAATAAAGACAGCAAGCTGTCAGAGGAAGGCCCATGCTCTCGCTCTATCCTCCTAAAGCCCCATTCTGAAAACAAAAAAGATGTTGCAGAAAGCAGAATGGGGCTGGGGTGACCTTCAGGATGACACACAATGCAGAGTTAATGTACGACTGTTGGGCAGTGAGAGAGCAGCCACAGCAGACAAGCACAGTGAAGAATGTGCTCCCACCCCACCCCTCTTCCAAGAGCTTGTTCTCCTGCCCCCAAGTTTTCCAGAGATCATTATCTAACCTGTAACTACCACTTTTGCCCTGCATGGGAGCCGTTCCTCCTGCACATGACACACTCAGGCGGAAATGCATGCTGGAGCCCAGCTGTACCGGAAGGCAATGTTGACACTTAACCAGTTGGGTATCCACCTAGGGGCTCCTTTTTTTGTAAGTTGGAGCTGGAGTTTGTGGTTCTAGGAAGCTACTTCTGATTTACAGTATTATCTTACATGAATGTTGAGATTGTAACTCAGCTTTTCTTTTTCTTTTTTTTTTTTTGCAATACTAGGGCTTGAACTCAAGGCCTACACCTCAAGCCCCTCTGCCAGCCCTTTTTTGTGATGGATTTTTTGAGATGGGGTCTTACGAACTACTTGCCCAGGCTGGCTTTGAACTATGATCCTCCTGATCTCTGCCTCCTGAGTAGCTAGGATTGCAGGCATAAGCCACCAGTGCCCGGCTTCTGACTCATCACTGATCGAAAAATTTGATCCAAGACTATCAGAGTGCTTTCTATAAGTTGAATAGGGCTCAAAATGAAGCCCGTTACTTCTGTCTGTCTGGGTTCCTAGAAGCCCAATGCCAGCAGAGCTTTAGATGCATTTCACTCTGGAATGCAGAAATGGCTGTGATTCTGTATCCAGTGTCATAAGACATAACCAGAGAGCTATGCAAGTGTGACTTGCCTTCAGTCCTCAGGGGAGATGGGCATGTTACCAACCCACCAGTTCCTAGTGCCCTGCAGTTGTCCCTGTCGCTTTCTTTGCCATCTGTGATTTGGAAGCACACTCGGGGACCTTAAAAACCCAGGCTTGGACCTTAATCTCTTACCTTCTGAGGGTACCACCCCTCAGAAGTTCTCCTCCTCCCGCTCTCTGCCCAAGGTGCCACTCCAGGAGCACCACAGGGCTGTACCCTACCCTGTACCCCTTTGCATCTGTCTGTCCCTACAACCCGCCTTGGGTGATCTCATCAAGGCCTGAGGCTTTGAATGCTTTCTACCTGCCAAGTCTCTGGCCCTGATTCTCCCTGCCTGGCACATGGTCTAATCCACATCTCAGTCCACACCTCCCCAGCCTCACCACCTGAAGTAAAATTGTACACAGCAGTATTTTTTTCAAGAGTAACTCTGTTCTCCCTCAGCCATGGGCCGGGTGTGGGGGTGCCTCTTTTGAAAAGGTGAGTTATTGAAGTTATTTAAGTAGAATCACCATAAAGCTGCAATTGGCAGTGAATTGGGATTGCTTTATGGACTGTTCTAGTTTCCTTGTAGGTGCCGTCCCTCTGTCTCCTCACATTAGGAAGCACAGGTGGTACAGGCTCTGCCCAGTTAGCCCCATTATCAGATGTGCCTCTTGCTGTCACCACCAGGATACTCACATCTCTGTTGTCTTCTTGTTCAGGCCTTTGTGTTTGGGGCTTTGTTTTGTTTTTGACACTAAGGTGCTTCTTGAAAGCATAGTGACAGTCACTCACGTACAAGAGGTCTAAGAAATGAGGATGCACCTACAGTCCTGGGCCCAATGTAAGACGACTAGTGTGCCCGCCTCCTACTGCATGCCTTGTGACCGGCTGCTATGAGAAGGGCCGTTGATGAGAGCTGGTAGACCAT